AAGTAATTCTTTTGCTCCAAAGCTCTGGCATGTTTATGTCCTGTTTTCCAGTCCTTTGAGGGCAGGCCAGACTCATAATACAATGTTCACTGTGATCCTGTGTCTAGATAATTATTTATGGGGGTATTTAGTGAAATACTGTTATAGTACATAAGGAAAAGGGGCTGTGAATCTTCTTTAATGACTTTAAAATTCAGGTACTTACTCCTTCTTTGCTCAAATGGTGCAAGGAAGGATATTAGTCCCTGAACAATGAGTCTTGATACATCATTACAAGTCCTTCCATTCATAGAGGCCTGGGTTACTTTATGAAATACTACCAAAAGCATGGTACCAGTCAACTATTAATCTAGTTTCTTCTTTCTAATAACATCCTGTGGAAATTATACTGGTAAATCCCTTGAATTTTATAGCCATGAATTATTATGTTATGAATGTTTAAATATAAAGAATATTGCAGCTTTCTCTACTGGCAGAATCACCACTGCAAGGATACCTTAGTCTACAAGTTATATAATTGCTTAGCAATCCACCCTGTACAGTATGCTCCTAATTATCTAGGTTCAATAGAGAATACATGCTGACTTCCAAGGACTTGTTGAAGCAAATATGTAGACTATGACTAATTAGAGGGCTCTGTAATACTTTCAATATTAGAATACCATATTAGTTTCAACTCTACAGGGTATAAATTTGTCGTGTGGCTCCTCTGCTAAGTGGCATTTGCAGATAGAGGCATGTTTTATAGTGCTTATTAAGAGAAAAGGATTTGGAGTCAGATCAATTTGGTTTCAAATCTTGTCTGCTGCAGAGCAGCTAAATGACCTTGGACAAGTTAATTAACCCCTCTGGGAACTGAGTAAAATACAGAATAATACTACTACTCAACTAACAGAAGTTGTTATGAAGATTACATAAGTTTATGCATATAAGGAGCCTAATACAGTGTCCAGCACATTATAGGTAATAAAAGGCTATTATTTTTATTGCTTTGTTATCAGATTTGTTGAATCAAACTCTTTCATCTCTCAGTCACATCTTGCCACCCTAATAGCAATGTTTCTGTACTGTAATAAACCAGACTTTGGCTTCCACCCATGTCATGGAGAGAGGAAGGGATGCATCACCCATGGCCATTTCTACTGCTTCCTCTTCCTAGTATGTAAAAGCAGTTTACAATGGTAGATGGACTCCAAAATAATGAACTCCATGGTGAGTAAAGTGGTTTTTTTTCAACTACTAAATATTGTTCTGACTGTATCAATGGCAGGGCTAATTGTACTCTATTCTTTGAACCCAGGGAGACCATATTTGGTTAGGACTGCCTTTGGTCTTAGAAGGGAGTTAAGTTTGCTACCAGATGCTGTTCTCTATTCTTGAAGTCTGGTAAAAAATAGTGTGGCATATGTGGTTTAATCCTGAATCCTTCCTAAAGCCTCAGTTAATTTTTTGGCTATCTCAAGTGGATTTTTTGGTTCGTTTGTTTGTTTTTGTTTTGCATTAATCTTATAGTAACCCAGAATTTAGATCAGAACTTCTTCCAGAATGAACAAAAGAGCTCACTGTTTTTGTTTTTTTGGTATTAGGGATTGAACCTAGGGGTGCTTAACCGCATCCCCAGCCCTTTTTATGTTTTATTTGAGACAGGGTTTTGCTAAGTTGCTGAGGGTGGCTTTGAACTTGAAATCTGCCTCAGCCTCCTGAGCCACTTGGATTATAGGCATGCACCACTTAGCCCAGACAAAGCTCACTTTTGACCTAGTCTCCTTTCAACCTCGTGGGATGACCATTCAAGTTTTTCCTGTGTGGATATGATCAGTCTGGATGCTGTTTCACACTGATCCTTGGTATGTGGATGAAACAGTGGTTCCCATCAGCAATAACGAAGAGAACAAAAGAAATTTTTTATTGATAACTTTATTATAAAAAGCCCTCAATGCCTCTAAGATATTCAGATGTTCTTCGATATTTAAAATTTTGAGAGGTAAAGCATTTAAACACTCATGAACAGTAAGTAAAATAATACTTCTGAGCTTCTGAGAATTGCTAATCCACTATTTGTTTATTGGAAGAGTATGTGCCATATTGCAGCTTAAACTTTTGGGTAACTAGGCTCCTATAGAACTTCTACTCAGACTCAGGTAGTAGCTACTGAAGTTAGACATCTGTATAATTTGTTTCTTCTCACCTAGTGCTGTAAAATGGACAACTCATGAAAAAAAATCTGTTTTCAATATTGGACAGAGGAATGTTTTAGCTAATTTATTTATTTTTTAATGGTTGGTATTTTGGGGTAGATATAGGCTCTGGATTTAACTCTAAATTTTATGTAACCACAATAAGAATGGGGCACTGGAACTAAAGAAATGCAACTGGATTTTCCAAGAGATTAATCCATTTCGTTATGAATAAACTAAATTCTTGCATACATTTTCAGAGCCAATGTCTTTAGAGCCTCTGGACTTTGTTAACCAGCTATCTACCATATGTTTGGCCAATGAATTGAGCAGTAATGAGATTTGTGTAGTTTTGGAAATTCTAGACTCTCAATTTTGCAACAATAGAGATTCACTTTTCAGATTGTAAAGTGTTTTAGAGTGTAATCAGCCAGCCAAATAAAAGTGCTTTTGAGTGGAAATCTTTCAATGGAAACATCATACAATTCAAGCTCTCTGTTATATTTAAACAGAAGAGCAAATTATAAGATCACAGACATAGTTCAGTCTCACTAGAATCATACAAGTTACCAATGACAGCTAGGCCCAGTGACAAGTGCCTGTAATCTCAGGGAATAGGGAGACTGAGGAAGAAGGACTACAAATTCCAGACCAGCCTGAGAAACTTAGCAAAAAAAGGACTCAAAATAAAAAAGAAAATAAGACATAAAAAAGAAAAAGGACTGGCTATGCAGTTCAATGGTTGAGCACCCCTGCGTTCAATCTCCAGTACAAAAAAAAAAAAAAGTTAGAAATGAGAAATCAAATGAATAGTTATAAAGTGTTTGTATTCTTCACAATGGAAGAATTATAGGCAATGATTTGAACATCTCAGATCTAGTCCCCCTCTGTTGAAAACAGAAGAATTGCAACAGTATTCTGACATTTTATTATTAAGTAATATGTTCATTCTTAACTTTAAAATATTATTCTGTATTTCTAAACATACAGTGAAAAGAGTTATTGCTGGTGAGAAAGAAGAGAAAAGTATGTCCTTTAATTTTAGCTATCTTAAGAATTATCAGTTTGTTAACTTTTCATTGAAAGAATTTATGGAAGGGATGTAAAACCAGAGATGAAAAGAAAAATCAAGATGAATAAAACATAATGATTTGGGGTTTCTAAGCATATCATCATATGTTTCTGACAATTTCAAACTTATGCTTTTTGTCTTAAGATTTACTAATAACTTACTACAATTAAATTGTACAACTAAACCATTGAATATTTTAATTATACTAAACCAATGGTTATCCTCCACATAATTCAAAATGGACATAAATGTGTAGTAGATGCAGTAGATGTTCTCCTAATTACATAGGGCTGCCTCATACACATCCTTAAATGTGAATTGTTGCTCCAATTGGTGACCAAAGGCACGTCCATCTCCAAAGGTCACTGGAAATTTTTTTCTAGTCCCTTCCTCCTAATACATATAATAGTGGAATCAAATCCTCCTTTTGGTCTAAGTTCTTCTGTCCTTCCTCTCCGGGAAGGGAAGGAAGAAAGACAGGAAGAGTATAAGAAATAAGATGTCTGGGAAAATATGGTCCTGTTTCAGGCTTCAGATATCTCTGGAATTGAGGCATCTAAGAGGTTTTCTTTGTTTTTATTTTCGTTTTTAGAATCAGGTTTCATGATCAGAAATTGATCTGTGAATTGCTTTTATAGTAATGGTGAGTTGAAAGAGTCTGGACCAGGTAACTCACTGGTAAGTTAAGAACCTGTGGAAATTTGTTCAAATGTAATTTCTATCTTTCTTTATCATCTTAAAGTTTTATGATGTCACTTAATGTGGTTAAATTTGATGGGGTCAAAAGTAGATCATCTTAATTATCATCAAATTATAATCACTAATCGATTCAGAGCTGATAGTACTAAACACTGATGGCAGGTTATATAGCTCAGGGTAAACACTTTTAATTTAGGAGTCAGAAAGTCTACACTGGGATTACACAGGCCACAGTGGGTGTGGGGAGCATGTTGGATGTCTAGGCAATGGTTGAGGTTAGAGCTGGATGGGAGTGTGCCTTTCTCCCATGGGTGACAAGCAGGGTTAAGCGTGAGTGGAGTACCCAGCGCTTCTGTGAATGCTAATTCTAGTTTTCTCATTTAAAATGTTATTTTCCGTGTTTTTCAGTTCTACAATTTTACTAATGAAATTCTTTACAAGCCTGAAGAGCTGAAGAGATGTCAGTCAGCTTGGCCTGGCACTGAATCATTATGTAATCATCCTGTTACTGTGAGAAAGCATTTTCCTAAATAATAAAGTGATTTACAAGCAAACATTTGGAAACAAATTTTTAGGAATTACCTACATAGCTTTTATTTCCATAAATAATACAATTTGAAGGAAAAGCCAGCAAACACCAAAATCCTTTCCCTTTCAAATAGAAAGCTTAAGTATGTATTTTTTCTTATCCTTTTTATTTGTCAAGTATTAGAATGGATTCTTTTTTTTCCATGTACTGAAAAACTTTCTGACTTCGCAGCTAGCTTATGAAAGCACAGTAAAAACACTTAAAATCTTTTTCTAACCTTCTTTATCACAGTAGAGGACAGTATTCTTAAATTAAAATTGTCAATAGGAAATTTAATTTTCTTAATATGAACTTCTTTCTTTATACATGAAAAGCAATTTGCCTTCTCATCTATAGAGCAGTTTCATTTATCATAGAATCAGAAGAACATATTTTGTACAATAATTTTATAAACTTATAATTATATAATTTTTCTAAACTTAATAAGTATATACTTGTATTTTTTTTAAAAATTCATTCTTACCTTGTCAGAAGGTTTGAATGGATTTCCTTGTCCACTAATTCCACCACTGATACTAAATCCAAGGCCAGGATTCTTTTCTATTCTCACACAAAACTATGTAAAAAAGGTTAAAAAAGAGTAATCAAATAGTTATCAAAGGCAAACATTTTCAAATAACTTCATCCAAGTAGAAAAGACTCATATTGCACTAAGTTCTTAGGATTATCTATATTGACCTGTGTAAACTGACAAAATGTTGGGTGTTTATATAACAGTTATGATTAAAATAGCTTGAAATTACCTAGGTAAGTAGACATTTTTATGCACTTTATTACCATCTGAAGAAATGAATTTTGATTAGTAGGTTCTAAAAATCAAAAGTCTTATAAACATTTAAGAGATCATGCATTATTTTAGCAACCTATCATAAATGCACATGTATTTAGTTAGAATGAATGGCAGGGATAATTGGAAGAAAGCTCTCAAATGCAGAGTGAGGATAAGGTACTCTGCTTTCTAGTAAGGTAGGATAGTTCTTCTCCTTAATAGATTATTATATTATTCAGGAATATTAGGGTTTTAGAGAAACAGGCCATAGCTGGAGTGAAGGTGAAATGGGAGGAATGAGGTGCTCAGTGAATAGTTTCAGACCAGCAGCAGCTTCTGGAGGAGGAGTTAGGTGCCTTGGAAGAAAGTAGACATTGTGAAGAAATCAAAGAAAGAGGTCAAGAATACGGAGATATTGGGCTGGGGTTGTGGCTGAAGTGGTACAGTGCTTGTCTAGCATGCGTGGGGCACTGGGTTTGATCCTTAGCACCACATAAAAAATAAAATAAAGATGTTGTGTCCACCTAAAACTAAAAAATAAATATCTTTTTGAGAAAGAATATGGAGATATTGATTATGACAGGGAATGTCAAAATAGATGTTTAGGACTCTGAGGGCAAGTATTCTAACATTCTGTGTTATGTTATTCCCCTGCCCCCACACCCCAAATCATCAGTACAAGTCTGTTAAACACTGGAGCCTTGTGTTTTATAGTAGCAAGGGGAATAATGGCATTAGGAGTAGAATTGCCTTGGAGTAACACTACAGTAAAAATGTTATCAATCATTAAAGTCAATACAGACCAGATCAAGAATTCAGTAGAAAGGCAATCAGCGCCAGGGACAACCTAGAGAATTCCTGGTGATCCTGAACTGGGAACATATGTGGGCCTTGGTAAAAATGCTAGCTCTGCATATAAAGTGGGACAGAATGACCCCAGATGATTGAAAACCTTGGGACCAAGAGGCTTGGTTACATAAAGAAAAAAAAACTTTTATACATTTTAAGTACAGAATAAGTACTGGAATAAGGTGAATCAAGTGTTACCAGAGGTTTGCAGGCAAAAGATTAATAATTAAGAAAAAATAAAAAGAAACACATTAGCATATATTTTGTATTTATATAAACATATACTGGAAACATTCTTAAAGATGATTGGAAATATTTGCTTTCTTAAGAAGCTTAATGTTTTCTCCTGACATTCTTGCTTAGCCTAGTAATTAGTTTAATGCAAATGCCCAAAACGTTCTGTGTTTTTATTTTCAAGGTATCTTTTAATCCCTACCTCTTAGGCAGTTCAAGGTAAACATAAATCCTGTTCCTGACTTAATTAGCACATATCGTGAATCACTGGAAACTAGATTCATTTGGCTTGTCTCCTTAATGTGACCATCTGTAATTCATTGTCATAGTTCATAATAGTAAATATAATGTTTATTACATAGTTCACTTGCAACGCAAAAGCAAAAAGTCATTTATACCAGTGTGATTTTTTATGGTAGAGTCATAGTCATTAATGAAATCTCTAAAGTATGGGTAAAAGCGATTACTAAAAGTAATCTTTCATATCTTTTTTTTTACAGCACTGAGGATTGAATCCAGAAGTGCTGTACTACTGAGCTACATCCTGAGTACATTTTTTTTTTAAATTTTGAAACACCGTCTCCTTAATTTGCCCAGGCTGTCCTTGAACTTGCAATGATGCTGCCTCAGCCTCTCAATGGCTCATCTTTTCTTTGTAAAGATACAGTTAATTACAACTTTTCTTTCAATTGCACTAGATTTGTTAAAACTAGTAATCATAGAATAGTAGCAACTACAATTTATAATAGGTTATGTTTATATGGCTCAGAGTCTATGCTTATGAACATTAATAGCTTGATTTAGCTGACATATTTTAGCTTTATTCAATATATTAGTTTACCTTTCTTCTTATTATTTTTTAATTGGAAAATGAGAAGAAAGCAACCAATATGCTTAAAACATTTTTCTTTTGTGTCTGCCCATCTATGTATTTCTAATTAAATTATTTAAAATTTGGGTTATATCTTTCTCATGTGAAAATCTCATGTTGCACAACACGGGAAGGTATATGTACTCCTTGCTTTCCCCAGGCCGCTCTAAAACCCGAAAAGAAACAAATGCAACAGATTTCATTTACACAGAAATTGCTGAGAGTTTTTTCCAGTCATTTTTTTCAAGGTAGTGACTATATCTATTTTATATTATTGTAAATCTTGAAGGCACTAAAAATCTAAGGAAAACAAATTTCATATGTGCCAAGTATTTGAAGAACTGTCTCAATATATTTTTTAATAATAGAAATAATAAAGATGACACTGTGGTTTTATAAATATGACAAACAAACATAAATTCTTATCTGAAGCTAGACTACTCTTGGGCATGCTAAGGTATGGCTAATAGGTTGTGCTGTGACTACTGGGTCTCATAAAGCATGTCAGGAAGAGTATTCATCTCACATATAAGGAGTTCCACCTGTCTGCCAAGGCCCAGAGAGGCCATAAAATGTTAAGAGAGAGAATACCTCCCAGCCAAGAAGCAGTCTGAAATCAAAGAGGATTAGCAAAGAGGACAGGAGCATTCTAGAAAAAGGTCAAGTCTAGGAGTCTAATAAATAGCTTATTCAGTGCCAATCAATATTTCAATTTTCTTCTGACAACAGAGAATGAAATTTTTGGTTAAGCAATCAAGGGTGCATTTTCTTCCTTCAGCATCTCTTTCTATTACTTCCTTTGACTTGAAACTTCTGGTCTGTGTTAATCTTACTTTAATTAAAATACTGGGTCTTATTTTATGGAGGCCTTCATGATAAAATGGATTGTTGTGTCATAGTAAGGCCTGGTGAGGTCATAATCTATGTAGAAGCCAGTGCTCTGACTTGGTCCCACAATGATCTAAAACCTCACAGCAAGAATAAAGGAAATGTGTGTGTGTGTGTGTGTGTGTGTGTGTGCGCGCGCGCACGCACAAATACATGCATGTGTTTTGGGAGGTATAATTCAGGATTAGGGAAATATCATTACAGAAAAAAATATCTGGTGATACTATGATAAATTGATTTCCTAGTGGCCATTCTCTTTCTCAGCTGTATGTATTATAAACTTTTACTGTGTACTTGTTTTTGCTAACTAAGATCCATTCATTGGTCTACCTTAATCTGTTTGAAGAACCATTCACTCCCATATTCTCAGCCTGTATGCTTTGGATGAGTCACGTTATCTAGACCTAAAACAAAGTAAAAAATGTGATTGTTTACAGGATGGGCAAGTAACCCAATCACAAAGGAGGAATGAGAAGCCTATTAAGATTTCCAGGAAAGAAATCTTGCTATTTCTTGCTAGTTTTGAAACTTGCTAGTTTTTGTAAGAGATCTGAAACTCTTACAGCTATCTTTCAAGTATGAGGAGAAAGTCTTTTTGACACAGGAACCAACCCATGGAAACAGAAGTCCAGACTTCCAGGGAGCCTGCATTATCTTCTCTGAGACCTGCCTATCCTTGCAGTTTCAGTTTACATGAGTCAAAACATTCTCTTTTGGCATAAGTCTTATTGAGTTGAGTCCTTGCAATCAAATGTCTCAGGTGGTTAAAAAATTTATAGGAGAGCCTTGCTTAGTTGCAAATATCAAAGAAGACTTTCTTTCCTATTACTTTTTTTTTTTAAAGAAACAATACACTTGTTTTAAAATCCTCTTGGGAAGTAAAACAACTTGAACCTAAATATTTTACACTGTGTGAAATTCTAGTCATCATGGAAATGTAAATCAAAATCACAATGAGATACTATTTCATAGGATGACTATAATGAAAGTCTCAAGTATTGGTAGGCATGTAGAGAAACTGGAACAGTCATTTATTGCTACTGGCAATGTATGTTGTAGCTACTTTAGAAATTTAGCTGTTCCTCAGAATGATAAATATAATTTCCATATGACCTGGAAATTTCACTCATATTTATCAACCCAAGAAACATGAGAACATACAAATCTGTACATGAATGATCATAGCAGCATTATTCATAAAAAGTGAAAAATAGAAACAACCCAAATGTCCATCAACTGATAAATATATAAGCAAAATATGGTATATCTATACAATGGAATATTATTTGGCCATGGTAAGCAATGAAGGACTGATACAAGCTACACTGAGTACATCATGTGCAGTGAGAGAAACAAACAAGTCACACACACACACACACACACACACACAAAGAACACATATTGCATGATCTCATTTATATTAATTGTCCAGAATAGGACAATTCTATTCAGAGACAAAGTAGATGAGTGGATGGCTAGGCTAGAGGGAAGGAATATTGAAAGTGCTAGTGAGTGCAAGGGTCCTTTTTAGAATGCTGCAAATATTATAAAATTAGTTTGCAATGATGGTTGCCCAACTGCATAAATAAGACAAAAATTAAATTACTGGTATATATTGAACAGGTGAACTTTATGGTATGTAAATTCTATCAATAAAGCTGTTAAAAAATAAAATCAGTAGGACAGAGACCAGCTAAGGAAAGACCCAAGGAAGGGGTAGGCAGAGATCAGATCTGTAGGGACACTGTAATATAAGGATTTGGAATTTATTCAGAAATTTGGGAATCCAGTGTAGGGTTTTAAGCAGAAGAGTGATATGATATGACTCATATTTTGAAAAAATAACTGACAGTGGAGAATAAATAAAAGAGGAGTAAACTTGAAGAAAAGAAAGCAATTAGGAGGTTTTGGCAGTAGTTAGAGGTTAGGTTATGGCCAACTAAGGTGGTGGTACAGGTGATGAGAAGGGTGGATTCAGGATATATTTGCATGGAATTGCTTTGAATCGGATGTGGGCCATAAGAAAGGGGAATCAAGGATTTTTGGTCATAGCAAAATGGTCAATAGAAGATTCATTAATGTTATGGAGAATTCTGGAGAGAAGTGGGTCTGGTAGGAACAAGGGCAGGGACAGGAATTTGATAGTTCACATCATGCTAAGTGATGTAAAAGGAAAAACTTGGAAAGATTTCTTTTATTAAATTACAGGTTTTTTTTTTTCAAAACTACAGTGAGTTGTCATTTCACCCTGGTTAGAATGACTGTTATTAAAAAAAATAATAACAAATGTTAGGATGTGGAGGGAAAAGAACTGTCCTATAATGTAGGGTGGGTATGTCTTTTAGTATAATATATGGAGAACAGTATGGAGGTTCCTCAAAAAACTAAAATAGATCTACCACGTAATACAGCTGTCCCACTTTGGGGTATAAATTCAAAGGAAATGAAATGAGCATATCGAAGAGAAACCTGCCCTCCCATGTTTATTGCAGAACTACTCACAATAGTTAAGGAATCAACCTAGGTGCCCATCAGCAGATAAATGGGTAAAGAGAAGTGGTTTGTATACACATGGAATATTATTCAGTCCTAAAGAAAAATGAAACCCTGTCATTTGCAGCAAAATGAATGGAAATGGAGGACACTGTGTTAAGTAAAATAAGCCAGCCACAGAAAAACAAGTACTGCATGCACTAATATGTGGAAGTTTAAAAAAAAAGCTGATTTGAATGTAGAAATTGATTACTAGGAGTTGAGAAGCTGGAGTGGGGTGAGGAAACAAAGAGAGGCTGTGCTTGATCAGCACTCTATGCATGCCTTGAAACATTACATGGAACTCCATTAATATTCACAATTAATACACACTAATAAAATATAGATTTTAAATGAAATATATTAACTTAATTAAGATTGTTAGAAAATATGTATTAAATGATTTCAATATATGTTATTTACTCAAATGACTTCAAATGAATCTCATACCTCATATTGCCCATTGTAAAGTATTGCTATTTGTAAAGATTTCCCATAGATTTTTATTCTCCAGTTATCACAGTAATACCAGACACACACAAAAGAAAACAAAACACATTGCAGCTCTGGATTCATAATTCAGTTTGACACAAAGAATTTGCACCTCAACACCATAAATTCTATAAATGGACTTTCTAAGTTGTACACAGTTGCATGTACACAATTACAGGTCACACAGAGCAGGAGGCAATGTGTGAGGCAATGCACCATATAAAAATAAACAAAATAGGGGCTGGGGCTCAGCAGTAGAGTGTTTGCCTAGCACGTGCAGGGCACTGGGTTCAATCCTCAGCACCACATACAAATAAAACAAAGGTATAAAAAATAAAAATAAACAAAATTAAGGCATGTGTCCATATACAACTACCAAAAATAAATAAATAAATAAATAAAAACTAAATCAGAGAACTGGGTTGAGATTATAATATTTATGGGATAATAGATATGAATTTTTTTTTAACTTCCTAGGATGCCTTTGGTAAAGCATGGTTCCAAAGGATGCCTTTGGTAAAGCATAGATTCTAAAAATTAAATTTTTAGAATCTCTGGAGAATTAAAAACCTCACATCATTAGCTGATGATAAACATCTATCTGGTTATTATACGTGAAGTCCAGCTCTTGACTTAGCTCAAGGAAGGAGAGGAAGAGAATTATCTTGGAAAAAAAATCTGTGATTCTGAGAATGATAATACATGTTTCAGTTTTAAGATCGGTATTAAGAAATAGAGGCAATGTTTAAAGAAAGTGGGATCCAAATGATAAGTAGCGCTTTAATATAAAGAAAAAACTGGAAATGAAGGTAATCTTGACTGATATGTTTAGAAAAGAAGGTGGAGTGAAATGTAAAGTTTGAGTGAGGAATAAACCTTTTAAAACCATATTAAGGAGTTAGTACAGTCAATGGGAGCTTTTCCTAATTATGTGAAAATTGAAATAAGAGAAATTAATTTTATGAGATTCTTAAGGTCTTAATGTCTTTCTTCCTAAGCTTAATATAATTCAATAGATAAGATTATGTTTTCTGGTCCTAAGGAAGAAAAGCAGATTCTACTATGGAAAAGCATATCCCAAGTTTAGACAGGTCAGAAGAGCCGCAAAGTTTTTGCTCCATGGCATTGATCAGTAGTTTTTGGAGCATTTCAGCAGTATTTCTCTTCTAGATATTCTTTATAATGTTCTTATAGCAAAGCTTTATATCTATGCTGTTCAACAACCTGAACTTCTAGAAAGTGTTTACCTACAAAGGAGGAGGATTAATAACTAACGAATAACTAACAATAGCTAACTTTTTACACTATTACCTCAGAGGCCTTGGTCTACACACCTCACCCACTAAGGTTCTCTATATTATTCCAAAGCTGTAGAGCTAAACTGGAGTTGGGTGTGAGACAAGATAAAACAATTTTGACCCATCCTTTTTCCTATGTGATGTTGAAAGGGGATTTTACTAACCATAAATTCCTGTGTGTTACAGTACTTAACCACTGAAAATCAATAAAATGCCTACAAAGAGTATTCCATCCCATTCAAGATGATGACATTATGTGTCCTGAACCACATTAATAAGGGCAAGCAAACCATGGACTTTTCATATTTCCCTGAAAATTCAACAATAATTTAAAAAGAAAAGAAAAAAAAAATTCTTCTCACCTGCTCTGGATAGCCATCCATACTCCTTTGCCCTTTAGTTTGAATTAAGCACCGTCCAGGCTGAGGTCCCCGCGTGGCCTGTGAAGAGGGGATCTGAATAGGCAATGGTGACTGAAATTGCTGGATGGTCACTTTGTTTATATTTCCTTCATATGGCTGCTGCTCCCGGCTGCGATGCTGCAGGCTTTGGGACCCCATCAAAGTCTGGATGTGGCTGCCTGCCTGTGGAGAAGATAATCTGTCAGGCGAAGCCTCCTGGTGCTGAAAGGATGTGATTAAAGTAGGAAACATGTTCAGAATACCTCTCGGGTAAAGTGGAATCATTTGGGCTTTCAGCCACAGCTGGAAAGGATAATGAAGAAACAGCAAGGGTCTGTCTACTGTGGTTTGTGAAAATGTTAATATTGGAGCAAGGTCGAGTTAAATGTATTTGTAGTCATCTGGTAGTTTGCCAAAGATCATTTTAACCCCTTTTGTAAGGGAACAAAATTCAGTCTGGAAAATCTCAAGTAGTAAAAGAAGTCACTAAACATAAAGCAGAGCTCTAAGTTGGCTATTTGACTTAAAAAATAACAGAAATGTCTAACACATGACATCAGGAGGAAAATGATACAAATTCCATTTGTATCAAATGATTGATCATACAAACGATTCCATTTGTATCATTATGTTTACAAATTTCATCCTTTTCCTGTTTCCTGATTCTGATGCAAAAGAATTGAATTGTTAAGTTTTATGACACAGGTGCATAATGAGCTTGTTTAGGTAAGTATAACCAATGGCATTAATTTTTTACATTGTTAAATGAAGAGTTTAGTTTTTGGAATCTCTATGCTACATTAAAATTAATCATGTGCTAAATTCCTGTGTTTGTAGACTGTGGAGGCACAAGATCTGGAACAGTCTTCAAAATGAACTCTGTACATTTCTTTTACTATTTTTAAGTTCTTAACGAGTAACATAAAAAAGTGAAGACATTACAGTGAGAATGGAAAATTGTTTAAAGAAGGAAGTTCAAGAAGTCATTTCAAAAGAATATTCAAAATCATTATTTGGCAGTACATAGAGCAAAATAAACACATAGTTGGTTATAGTTTAGATGTACAATAGCTGTCTTTGTATTATGATTTCTACATGCAGAGACATTAAGATATTTCAGTCATGAGAAACTGGAGGAAAAGTTGCAAAAAAAATTTTTGGTCTATGCGAGAACAATGTGAAAACAATTTTCAGTCCAACATGGTCTGACACACTTATGCAGTGATTAAGCACAATAACCATATAAATACAATTCAGATAACCTCATAAAAGACAAATGTCTATTTCTCAATTCTCAGAAACTTTCATGAAAGGATATGTCGCAAACTTTTCAGGGCAAATAGTTTTCTGGTCAAGTTTTTCCTTATTACAATGTTCTCTTGTTCGGTAGGACAAGTACCCATGTCAAACCCAGTATCAGATTTTGATCTGCTTTGTTCTGAATGAACTCACAGTTATATAGTTAAAAAAATAATCTGCAGTTAGAGGAGTTGGGAGTGGAGGCTGTTCACTGAGGCTGACTGGGTACTGAGCAGTCTGTGATTGACATCTACTTCTCACCCCCACTGGTATAATTCATGGGTCTCAGTCAGTACTTGAATCACTGGATGGAAGGAGGACTAGAAATGTGACTGAAAGTGATCACATTGATAAGCAAAGATTTTTGCACCATGACAAACTTAGCAGGAAACAAGAACATAGCTTTGGTTCCTTGACAAATAATCTAAACAAGAAAATCAATAAGGACTACTTAACTACTACTTTTCTGATTAATCTGGTAATGGTCTATTCAAGGATGAAAATCTAATTTTTTATATTATAGAACTGCAATACACACTATTATTCTGTTTGTTTTTCTTCTGATGTGAACTCAGGACTATGCAAATTTTGAATGAAGGGAAAATATCATATCATATTTAGTGTTTTTAATGACTGGCACAGTAACTGCATTTAATAAATAATAGCTTCCATCCAAACACTTGGTACCAAACAGTGCGCTAAAATATCTTAAATATATTACCTCTTGTAATCTTCACAACAGCATTACAAAGGAATTATTATTATTCATTTATACTGAGAAGGAAACCAAGGTTAGGAGAGGTTAAAAAACTTATCCAAGTAATTGTACAACTGGTAAACTGGAAGGACCAGCATGTGAAGGCTGTATGACTATGAGGGTTATACTCTTAAACACTGTATCATACTGCAACCCTTTCCCTCCAAGTTGGCACCCTCACCTCATAGTTGAACTGTGAACTGAAAAGGAACCATGAAAGGAAACAAGTTCTAGTTGTGGAGGGAGAATATATACAACTTTTTCAGCAGCTCTTGAATTTGCCAAAGGAGGTGAATTAGGTCTATTAGCTCTTTTTGGATGCTGTGTATGTGATTTCAAACTGTACAGTTCAGCAGATAGGATTGTGCTTTTGTATTTAGTGATCTTTCTGGTCCTATGAAGTAACAAAGCAAATGTTCTCAGATGGCTTGGCAAAACAAAAAGTATGGAAGGAACATACTGTTAAGTGATTTTTTTTTTTTTTTTGCAACAGAATTTCTTTCACTCTTCTGGGCTATAGGCTGTAAAAATGGGGATGAGGAATTATTGCTCTACCAAGCAAAGAATTAGTACTAAAATTTGTATAGTCGAACAAACATAAAGGACATAAGATATCTAGGGGGATCAATTAGGGAACAGAGAGGTTGCAAAGAAGAGGATTTTTTTTTTTTTTTTGCACAAAGACTTAAGAAAGGTAAAATGGACATTTACAATGAAGTACAAGGAACTAATGAACACAGAAAATGTCAGAGGCTGGATTTGTTCAAGCAGAGGGTGAGTTATATGAATACTGACTCACCCCAAAGAGGAATTGGAACACAAGGGTTTCTGTAAAGACTGTGCTATACATTTTGAATTATAACAGGGAAAAGAGAAGATTTGGCATTTGTTTGGGATTTTCCAGGGTAGGTTGGACAAGACAACATGTATTTGAGGAGAACAGTGATACAGTAAGGTATTTTCAAGTTGTCCTCAAAACAAACTATCAAAGTTTACAGGGAAAAACTCCAATATCCATTAGACCCAAGGAAAGATTTATTTCAAAACTGAAGAAATGTTGATTTGATACCAAGTGGTATCAAATTCAATCAACTTCATGTGAAATTCATCCGATATAAGTTAATAAGGCTTATTATGGAAAATAAGTGTTTGGGAGGTTTTTCGTGATATGAAAGCATTGGCTCTGTCACCATGAAAATGCCTTGGTTCACACTGTTCTTTTGGAAGAGTGTTAGACTAAGAAGTGTATCATATTACCCAATTTGGTCATTTGTTTTACTACCCATCTTGGCTCCTGAACCACGAGAGCTTGCTTCCGAAAATTAAACAGCCTCCAAGGGTGACAATATATGTCACTGAGAATGTTCAAAAGAACATGATTCAGTTTCCAAAATTAACTCCAAAAGAGTCCCAGGAATATTTAGAAGCAAGGTCAACAAACTAGAATCATCTCCAAAGGATAACTAAGTAACTAATTTCAAGGAATCAGACTCATTTAAACAAATCAGTATAAGTAATTTTGTAAAGCAAAAACAAAAACAAACCAAACCAACCAACCAACCAAACAAACAAACAAACAAAGACCCAGTCATCACTCTTTATTTATACCAAGTATTCTACAGTATACCTTCCCTTTTATTTTTAGAATGCAGGCTAAGTTTTAAAGCAAGTCAGTAGGACTTCTGCTTTCATGTGGATAGAATAGATGCATTTCCTCCCTGTTTGCTATGTTATATCTAACAAAGATACTTGAACATTATATATAGACACATATAAAAAGACTGAAAAATGGAAGAAGGAAGCCAGCAAGGGACCTAGGGACCAAGTACAATATGATGGTGTCTCCTTGGGTTATATATACAGAAGAATTGGGTAACCAATCAATCAACCAAACAAGCACAAACCTGCTCTCTCTAGCCAAAGGATTAGGAAAGATGTAGCCTAACAGATGCTTTAGATACTGCCTTCTATATTGTTGCTCAACACCATAGAAAAAACTACAGCCCAACTTCAACAATGTCAGCAAAGGCCAAGTAGGTAGCCTGAAATTCAACCCTCATTAGAGTGCAACAAAGCAAACCAAAATCCCCACCAAAGTGGTATTAGGGAAATCCGAACAAGGTGCCACAGCATTCATCCCCAGTGACTAGTAAAAGCCTCTCCTCCAATAGTGTCAGTGGAGACACAAGAGGTACTTGGACTTCCATGCTCACCCCAAAGCAATAAGGCAGCTTGTGAATTCTCAATGAGTAGTGTGAGAAAAGGCCTAATAACAAGTCAGGACATTCAACATTACCCAGTGATAATGTATCAGTGGAAATTATGTGGGCAATTGAAACCCATCCCCACTTAGCAATACTGAGGAGCTTTTGCCTCAGGTGTCAATGAAGGCTGAGTGAGTGGGAAAACCAGACTTCCATCTCCACTCAATAACAAGTCAGCGCCCTACCCTTCCTCAGCTGAAATGGTATCAGAGAAAACCAGCTAAAACAGGAGGCTGAAATAACACAATGTGAAAATGTCCAGGTTTCAGTTGAAAATGACTGAACACACCAAGAGTCAGGAAGATCTCAAACCAAATGGAAAAAAAAAAAAAAAGACAATCAGAGTCGATGCCAACATGGAGAGGATAAAGATGTTGCAAGTATCTGATTTTAAGGAAGTCATCAAGAAAAGGTTTCAATGTCTAGATACACTTACATATGAAACAAATGGAAAAGTAGAATTCATCAGGAAAGAAATGTAAGTCTCAGCAAAGAAATAGAAGACTTAAAATAGAAACAAATGGAAATTTCAAGAAGCAGCAACCCCATAGGATAAACCCAAAGAATCCAAGCATACATGAATAATAATTAAATTCTAAAAACTAAATACAAGTAAAAATATACTTAAAGCAACCAGGGAAAAATGACAACTTAGCTAGAGAGGAAAAGCGATATGAACAACAGTGGATAATCTCATCAAAAACATGGATGACAGAAGAAAGTGGCATAATGATTTTCAAGTGTTAGAAGGAAAGATCTGTCAGCCCCAGATCCTGTAACTGTGGTAATATTCTTCAACAGTGGAAGAGAAATCAAGACTTTCACTGATGAAGGAAAACAAGGACAATTTATTGCTACCAGAA